AGTCCTCCAGCTCCTTAGAGTCCTAGGCACCTATGTTTGCACACCCGGCATGTTTTCAGGCTGACCTAGGGATCTGAACTCATGGCCAGAATGTGGCTTCCAGCTTTGCAAGTTTCTGTGCTACCACTGTGCCATAGCAGGTGGACTTGGTCAGAGAAAATTTGATATGATAAATATTTTTCATAGACTTGCATTATAAAATAAAATGAATTACCACCAAAAAATGTTCAGTCCTAAGATATAATAAAATTATATGCAGGAATTCAGCAAATTTAAAAATCATATGTTTAAATGAAATATGTTCTTCTGATGATGTAGTAAGTACTTGAAGTGGATTTCAGAAATGGCGTATGAGCTGAGATAATATTTTAATATTATAGAAAGAGAGACAGGTACAACATTGAAGATCTCACACCTCTCAATAATAATTTCTTCCTGGAATAGAGCTAGAAAATTTTTATCAGACACTAGGAATGAAAAGCAAGTATTCATTAGTTCCTAGAATTTTAGCTAATCATGTTGATGTGTATACTATCTAAGCTGACTCTTAGTAAGAGTTACCATAGATTTCTCATCTCTCCTGATTAAGGCAAATATCCATATAACATACTTTGTGGGACATTCAAATTTTTTGTTGTAATGAAAAAGATTTATTATTATCTGATATATTTTTAAATTGTTTTTCCTTTTTCTTCTTTCAAGTATATTTATTTATTTATTTTAGTTTGTTGTAGGGTACGTGCAGTCATTGGAGAGAGACAGAGAGAGAGAGAGAGAGAAGGAAAGTGAGAAAACACCCCCCGGGGGATGACTACACTACAATACCTTCTCCTCTCAGGATTTTGGGCATGCAAGCACATGCTCCCACCATGTCTTCCAAGTCTCAGGTCTGGAACTTGAACCACGCAGTCTATCATGTGGGATCCAGCCATCTTAATCTCTATACCATCCACTGGCCCCAACTTTTTATGATTTTATTGTTAGAAATCATAGTTCCAATCTATAGGAAATGAAGGTGGCACAGAATATACTAGAATATATGAGCTTGGTCAATGAACTGACAATAAAATGCAGGATATGAGAAATGCGTGCTTAGGTGATAAATCATATATACAAGGAGAGAGTGAAAAATTACCAAGAGCTCTATTGGGCAGAGAAGGCTTAATGGAAGAGCTGGGGACTTTGAAATAAATAATATTTACATATATGAAGGAGTAGGAATTCTTGACAAGAAGATCAGAGTGAACACATGGCAGGATTGGGAGCAGTAATCTAGTCTAATAAAGTATTTAGCATTTTTTATGAAAAGGGAACCTTGTGGAAGACATAGGCATCACATGCAGAAAAGTTACAAGTTTCGTTGAAGAGAAGCCTTGTGAAAAGGTAATACAAGACAGCACATGAAAAATGGAAATAACTGAAAAATTGGTATAGGAATTCAGAAGAGGCCTAGATCATTGTGGAGTGGGAAAATCAGAAAGGCTTCTTTGAAGGTAAGATTTGAACTGGGCTTTGAAGGTGGGCTAGGATTTGGGTAAGTAGAAAGGAGTTGAGGCATTTGTATCAAGGCTATAGCATAAGTATATATGGGGACAACGTGATTTATTCAAGATATGTGGATCAGAGAGGGTGTAGAATGTTTTATAAAAAAGAGTGTAATGAAGTATAAAGTTAGATAACTAGATTGTAGTCATTTGTGAAAAACCCTTGACTATCAGGTTAAAGTATTTCATGATGTAGGCAAATGCAGACCCACTGAAGACTTTCAAATAGGATAGTGACATACTAATGGCAATAATCTATAAGAATTTGAGGACAAGATTAATGGTAGGGAGATCAGTTAAGAATTATTGCAAGGGAGGGCCAGCAGGTGGCGTGGTGTGGCACACCTGTGAGGCGTGGCACACCCGTGTAGCTGACCATGGTTTGAGTCCTGGACCTGGAAGCTTGTTTTCTCACTTTTCCTGTCTCTCTCTCTCTCTCTCTCTCTCTATCTCCAATCAAGTTTTTAAAAATAATAAATAAAATTAAGTAAACAATTTTTTTAAAAAAAGAATTACTGCAAGTAGCTGAAATATGAAATGGTAAAAGCCTGAACTAGAGTGATAGAAGTAGAAATTCATTCTTTCACTCCTGAGTTCACACAGTGTACAAGTCATTTTGTTGCTGGGCACTGAAGATACAGAGATTAAATAATATACAGTTTTTGGTCTCAAGAATATCACAGCCTAATGGAGAAGACTGGTTCAGAATTATAAAGTACATACAATGACAGTATTTTGGTATCACCAAACAGGGGCTAGTTAGTGGATGACTTATGACAACAAAACTATTTCACTTTCTTGGCATTAGAATTAATATTGTTTGGCATTATATTACTAATTGTTTTGAGTTAGTTAATGGCCTCTTGCGGTTTTGCTTTTCTCCCCAACCATCTCAGTGACTAACTTGCCAGCTCCACACTATCTTGAAATTTCTCTTCTAAAAAACATTTCCAGGGCCAGCAGGTGATGTAGTGGTTAAGGCATTCAGCTCCCCCATGGTTGACCACAGTTAGAGTCCCAGACCTGGTGGCTTGAAATACACCAGGTGTGTGTGCATATGTGCCCAAAATCCCGAGAGAAGAATGAAGGAGATTGCAGCATGGTCACCCCACCTAGGGATGATTTCTCACTTTCTGTCTCTCTGCTAAGCACATGTGACCTATAGCAAAAATCTCTAAAAGAAGGAAAGAAAAAAGAAATTCCACAGTGAAGCATAAACTATACAACTAAGGAATTTTGCTCTCAGACATTCTAGGATAGGAAATGGAAGGAAGTGAAAGACATTGCAAAGGAATAATCAAGAGGATTTGTAACTGGTTATGGGAGGCATGAGAAAGGGAGGCAGAAGATAGAAAGTGGACAAGTATGTAAGATTTACTGCTAAACAAAGCAAGCCAGACTATGGAAGAGAGGCATTGTATGTCCCCACTCAGTATATACTGAATGTCGGCACTCTATGGCAGAAACTGAAAGATTAGAAAGTATAAAAGCATGGAAAGCAATGACGATATTAGAGACAGTATGGGAGGAGGGTGGAAAATGGAGGAGGGTAAGAGAGAGAAGATCAAGGGAAAAAGAAAGAAGCAAAACATTTAAGGGACACAAAAATGGAAAATTATCTGTTGATGATGATGTGTATGGTAATTTATTTGGCTGAACCAATATGCAGTGTATTCACAATGGGAAAATTCATTTGGTATGCTGTAATGATATACAGTGATTGAATGTTAAGTTTCATCTTTCTGCAGGTGGATATCCTGTTTTTCTAGCATCATTTGCTGAAGAGATTTTCTTTTCCTCACTGGATCAAATGGTGCCCTTTGTCAAAAATCAGTTGGCTGTATATTTTGAGATTTATTTCTGGAGTCTCTATTCTGTTAAGTTGGTTCACATGCCTGTTTTTGTGTCAGTACCATGCTGTTTTGATTATCACAGCTTTGCAATGTATTTTGGGGTCAAGAAGTAAGAGGCCTCCTATACTACTCTTCTTGCACAGTATTGCTTTTGCAATAGGGAGTCTTATAATTCCAGACAAATTATATAATTGTTTTATCTAAATCTGTAAAGAAAGTGTCTGGTAATTTGATTGGGATTGCATTAAATTTATAGATTAATTTGGGTAGTATTGACAGTATGATTATATTAATTCTTCCAATTCAGGAACATAGGATGTCTTTCCACTTTTTTGTGTCAGTTTTTTAAAAAGAATTATTTCATTTACCATCATCATTTTTTTTTTTAATTTGACCATAGAGACACAGAGAGAGAAAGAGGGAAAGTAGGAAAGAAAGCCTCCAGGTCCAAGACTTGAACCATGGTCCATCATGTGGGAGTCTAGCACCTTAACCACCACTCCACCTGCTGGCACCATTTTTGTGTCATTTTTCATTTCTTTCTTTTTTTCTTGTCTTTTTTTTTTTTTCAGTTTTTCTTTTAGAGATTTTTACTTTTTTGGCTAGCTTTATTCCTAGATATCTTCCTCTGTGGTTATTGTAAATGGAATTGTTTTCTTCCGTTCTACTTCAGTCTGTTCACTGTTGGTGTATGGAAATACTATGGATATTTGCATGTTGATTTTGTATCCTGTCACTTTACTTCTAGGAGTTGTTTTTGTGGATTCTTTTGAGTTTTCTTTGTATTATAACCATGTTATCTGCAAATAGAGACAATTTCACTGTTTCTTTCCCT